ACTATTACTATATTCCTTTAACCGTTACATTTGAAAATTTTAGCACACTAACGACTAAAGCTCAGCCACTACGGGCTGCTGCACGTACTCCTACGTATAAAGAACTACGAGAGTCTTACCGTCTTGATGGTTTAGGTGGCCGACACCTACACAATGGAGTTTCCTCACATGGAGACTGGGGTGGCAGCTCCAATGATTTAGTTGGTGTGGGTTGTGTGCCTGGAGATTTGGGAACTTGATCCGATGATTTAGTTGGTGTGGATTGTGTGTGTGTGCTTCTTTCTAGAGCTTCAGCTATCTGACTTAGACTGTTATCGTCATAATCATCATCGAAAAAATGTGCTGCGAAGGAAAAAGAGAAAAATCAGTGGAATGATACAGCACTAATAGCTAGGAAGTGTTCAAAATGTGCTCAAAATGTTTTCTGGGAGTAGCTGTATCACTGTGCAAAGGCACCTCCTTTTCTTTAGTGTTACTACCACTACTTTCATTATCATTATCCATTGCTAGAACCAACTCAGAAAGTCTGTTGGCACCACCATCCTCGCTAGCACCATCTAAGAAATAAAATGCAACATAAAAATATGATGAGCATTTTCTCAAGCCACTGCGTGTATAAGGAATCCAGTAATATACATAAAACATGAAACGAAAGGAAAGAAAGCAATCAAACAGTTCTTACCATGAGTTAAAATAAAATCAGAAAATTCTAAACCAATATCAGTACTTGGAGTGGCAGGAGTTTTGGGGGTGTCAAAATCTGAAGTCAAAATCAAGTTAAATCATTAATAGAGTTGGGTAAACAATTGAATTTTGATTGATTTATGGAAATTAATAAGCTGCTTATTACCATCTTCTTCGACCTTGATATAAACATCTCTAACTTCTGTGTCACAAAGTTCGTCATCAGAGTCTGGAAAAGAAGTGTACACGGTAAAGAAAGTCATACAAAAAAAAAGCATACTCTGACACAGTATACAAGATAGAACCTTATTGTACTGAGGCATAACTCACCAAGCACTATCACAGGGATTCCATTCTCCTCTGTCTCTTGAGAAGTGTGTTGTGCTTGTGGTGTCTCATTTTGCTTAGCATTCTCATCAGGAGTTGAGTCAGAAATTTTGATGTGCTCCATCTCTGTCTCTTGGGCAGTGTGTTGAGCTTGTGATGTCACTTTTGGCTGTGTATTCTCGCCAGGATTGACAGATGTATCCTTGCACGGCATATCCAAGACTTCTACAACACAAGAATCCAGAGCATAACTGGTCTCACTGGCCCCTTCTGGAAAATTTAACCACTGTGCTCTTGACATTGTTTCCTAACTAAACTTTAGAAAAAGAAAAGAAACACTTACTTGGCTTTTCCAGGAGCACAACCTCCTTCCCTTCTGCCCATAATTTGAACAGCTCTTTGAGCACCAAAGAGCGTTCATGAAATTGTGCTGAACCACATTCAGCAAGCAGAGAGCTGATGAGCCTGCACGTGTCATTAGCAGCATTATATTTTTCACGTGAGGTCTTCGGCACAGTGACAGGAAGAATTTTCTTCTTCACTAACCCAGGCGCAATTGCAACATCACAAAGCCTTTTCTTTCTAAACATAGGGGCGATTTCCCCCAGATGATAAGGCTTCTCTCCTAAATCGTTGAGATATAGGTAAACACTTATGAGATACAGTTTAAAACAAACTCAGAATTTAGATTAAGAAATATTGTGATATAAATACCCTGCATTCGTCTGCACTGGAAGATGTGCCGACAAGGGAGGTCATAGCTCATAAAATGTGGACAGCCACATTCAGAAGTGGAACCCTCATACTCCACTATCTCCTCGTCTGAAGGCACTTTCTGTAGCTCATTAATTAGAAGATCAGATGCAAATCTTGTAAGGTCATTCAACATGGCATTTACAATGGGATCAGAAATAGCAGTTGTAAGGTATGCCACTTTAAAAGATGCAGTTGTTTCTCTGAAGTACACATCTTCTTCTTTATTAGTAAAAATATTGAGAAGGCCTTCAACAGCATCCGCCAACGTGGATTTAGAATTAAGAATCTGTAACATAAATTAGGTGAGAAGAGCGCATGATAGAGGAGAGAAATAAGCTTACAGCAATGATCTGAACATACCATCTTAATCTTCGAATTATGGTTTTCAACCCGATTGGTGGTAGTGTTCCCCAAATTGATACTATGCTGCTTGTCTCTGAAAGACCAGGCTTGAGGGCAATCTAGCCAATTTTCTTTCATGTACTCGTAAAAGTCGACAGACGCAGCCTTTTCCAGTTGAGAGCAGAGGGCCTTAAACCGAGCATCTGTTCGAACATACTTAAGTTCATCTACAATTTCTTTCACTTCAGTAGTCTCCTTAGAGGACTTTTCCTTCAAAGTCCTCCCGACATGGAAGATGCACAGCTGGATGTGAACGTCAGGGAAAACTTCTTGTATGGCCCCAATCTCTGAGGGATCCTTGTCAATCACTATGGTCTTCACACCCATGGCCACATCTTCGCCAATGCTTTGACGAAAGGAAGATAATACATCTGCAACTGTGACTAACTGCTCATTGGCTACAAATGCATAACCAGCCGCCCTCCCATTGCCCTCCCCATCCATAACCATCAGGACGCAGACCGGCATCCTGTTCTTGTTCACTTTGTGTGAATGGTCGAGCAGTATCACTCTGCCATACTGGGCAACATTTTTCCTCATTCCCGAAGTTTGAAAAAAGACATACTTCAAATTCTCTTCATCATCTGTGCCAATAAAAATCGAAGCACCATCATCAGCTTCCTTTAAATTTTGAAGAACGGTGGCGAGTCTTTCTTCTTCAGAGAGACCTCCATGTTTTTCTTTATTCCATCGAGCACTAAAGAAACAAATTCATTACACACACATCCCGTGTTTAACCGAATGAAAACTGTACACAACAACTTACCGGTAGTTGGCCAAGTCTCTGGCAGTCACTGACCCAGTAAGACCTCTGAGGATATTCCTAACAACAGAGGGTTTAACACCACCTTCAAATAGTAATTTGACTTTCTCCTGGGCATCAGAGGTCAGGTCACGTTTCTCAGGTAATTGGTTAAACACTCTTTCGTCACATTCATGGTTGTGCTCTGGCACAAATTCTTTGATGAAAAGTTGGTTCCTGCCCTTGGCACTAAGGTAGAGAAATGCTGGACACCCAATTTTGTGCGATCTGAAAAAAGAAATCATTTAGAGGAATCGTCGAATGAAACAGTGGCTGGCAACAAGTAGTACTGAGGTTATGGTCTTAGGGTTAGAAGTCAGAACCTAAGCACTAAACACGCTATAACACCCTTAAACCATTTGTACTTACTCTTGTCTGGGTCTGTCCCCTTTTCCTGTGCCGATTCGCTTCTCTTGATTAGGAAGAACGCCTAACTTGCATGAAAAGTTCACATAACGGTACTTCAATTTCTCGTCGAAAAGATCGGTTCGGCCTTTAGATCTTAAAAGCGCATTAGCATGTTCAACAGAAGTAGACCTGCCCCTCACCCACACCATGAAGTTCTCATTTTCATATTTCTCTTGTGCTTGCTCAAATTCTTCGAAAGAATTAAAAACCTTGTTCAAATGCAAGGTAGCCATGGTAAGATAGGCCACTAATTTTGGAAAATGACATAGTATCTCAACCTCGACCGGCGGATTAGCGCGGGAAAACGAAACTCAGAGCGATGAAAAACAAACGTCAGGCAGATATTCGATGAGACCACAATCTGACCGGAACAGGGCGAGTATCATCCAATACCAGCATCCGGTTACGACATTTTAACAGTTTCACACAACACCATTGATATTTTCTCGAAATAAGTTAGGTTTGGGGCGAATAGTCAATCCTAAAAAACACTTAAAACAGTTTTACACCTTTATTTAGGTTGAGTTGTCTGTTTTTTTGACCTGTTATGTTTCATTGGTGCGTACTTGACAGACAAGAACAGATTAGTGCGAATAGCAAATCCTATGCGGATTGCACCAATTGGTGCAAACCGGCAAGAAGACGTTATGCGCACCAATTGGGGAAAAATTGGGGGGATTGGTGCGAATAGGGGACAGTACTCTTCATG